TATGGAACACATGTAGCGTATATTCATATTTTTACACTCTTATTTGTACAAATCCTTATATGTGATATTTAAATGAATGTTTATACTATGTGTATATAAGTGCTCTTTGTATATATACTTATCTATTTTTTATTATTTTTGTTCATTTGTATTATTCTGCACTTGTTACTTTTAATTCAGTATCTAGCAGTTGTATTTATATAGAAAAGTCAAATATATTATAAGCACACTTGGCAAGTAGCATTTTCTAATTTAAAACATTAATTTTGCCATTACACAGATCAGAGAAACCTGGGAATGTCCATGCGAGTGGAGCGCTCTTCATTGGATCAAGTTAAAAAACGTTTTGAAGTAAACAAGAAAAAACTGGAGGAAAAGCAGAAGGAGTATGATTTTGAGGAAAGAATGAAGGAGTTGCGAGAGGAGGTCAGTCTTGAAATTGAGGTTCATTTACGGACAGGTGACATGCAAATAAGTGTTAAAGGTGCAATAGGTGATTGTCTTCAGAAACATTTTTTTGTTATGCTGGTTGAAAGTCTCTTCACATCCCCATAGCAATCATTAAGTTAAGTGGTCTAAATGTATTTGTCTGTATTTATATATTCTGTGGAAGGCATAGGACCAAGAAATGTTCGTCCAATCAAAACGCTCGGTCCGAGCTTTTTAATATGTTTTCCTACCTGCCTGTCAACGTATGTATTATCATACCTCTGCCCACCGGGTTCGCACAGACAGGATACGTCATCAGCGCGTTCACACACACTGTGCAGACAGAGCGACAATGGCAGACAAACATCAACAACTCGATCTTCCTTCCTGGTATTGTAGTACTTTTAAAGATTTCTCACAGTTAGCATTTTCCAAGATCTCCTACTGCACCTTTAAATAAGTGTGACATGCAAAACCAGTGCCTCTTAACTCACAATTGTGAAATTGTGAATAAAACTATATAATTTTTGTGATGACCAGTGCATGTGTTATGTAAAATCCAAATCTTAAAGGAACACGCCACTATTTTTGAAAATAGGCTCATTTTCCAACTCCCCTAGAGTTAAACAGTTGAGTTTTACCGTTTTCGAATCCATTCAGCCGATCTCCAGGTCTGGCGGTAGCACTTTTAGCTTAGCATAGATCATTGAATCTGATTAGACCGTTAGCATCTCGCTCAAAAATGACCAAAGAGTTTAGATATTTTTCCTATTTAAAACTTGACAATTCTGTAGTTATATCGTGTACTAAGAC